TGGGAGGGAAAATATAATATTTAATTTGTGTGGGAGTTTAATAAAGAGAATAGAGAAAAATTTAGAAGGTGTTTTTTTCGGGGTGGGATCCCTTGGAAAGAGTTGGAAAGGCTCAGTCATGGTTAGAAAGTACAAAAAAAATTTCCAAGGGTTTCCATTTCTTGTGTTTGTTTCACCAAATTTTTTTAAGAATTACTTTCTTAAGAGTAAGGAAAACACCATTTTTTGCAAGGAAACCAATTCCTCTCTAGAAATGATGAAATGGGGAGGAAAATGTCGAAAAGGTGGGTTATTAATATTTAAACAATGAAAATGATATGTGGAGTTGGTAAAATATAATAGTCAACTAATGAGAAAGATGTTTTCATCTCAATTGGTTTCTTGGTGTTGGCTTTTGAACCAAACAAAGGAATGATACAAACCTCCCCATGTTTCCAAACACAAAAAAATATTTCCTAGAAACACATGGAAAGAAGTTGAAATAGGATTTTTACTACTAGAAATGGTTTCCTTTTTTTTTTTTGGAAATGAAACAAACACACCCTTAGTTTATCATGTATGAGAGTTTTAACTAACACTATGTCTGGATGGAGGGTAATGGGGGATAGGGGAAGAGAAAAATAGAGTTATTTTGTTTGGAAGTTTTTTTAAGAGGGGCAAAGGAGGGAAAGGAAGGGGGAAAAGTTCAATTTGGGGGGGGGGGGGGGGGGGGGGAAGAGGAGGGGAAGAAAAGAAAAGTAGAATTTCATAATGAAAGAGATATCTTGACCTTCTATCGTAATGAATCAATGACTAAGATTCATTTACTTCCCTTTCCTTTCCATAATTAGAACTCCCAAACAATATAATTAAAGTTCACATTCATTCCCCTTACAAAAAACTCCCAAATAAGATATTATGTTTTTCCTCATCTTCCTTATCTTTCCTTTTCCTATCTTACCTTTCTTTTTCTTCTCTTAGTGATCTCGCAAACATAGCATTAAGAGAACTAAAGGGAAAAAATGTATTATAATCAAATCTCAGCCATTGATCCATAGTAATAAACGGTAAAACTTCTTTTATAACAATTTCCCCTGCCTTTCATTTCTTTTCTTTTTTTTTTGGGGGGGGGGATATAAAATGACCATATTTTTATTTGAATTTCCCCTCACATTAGCCCTCTAAAAAAATCCCAAACAAAGTGAACTTCTAAGTTCTCTTCCCCTACCCTCTCCTACCCTCCATCCAAGCTAGCACACTATAAGAAAGAGGGTTTCCTCCTAAAACATTTTTGTTGTTGTTGCAATTTCCTTTTTAGGAAAAGAAATCCCGAGATATATGGTAAGAGAGTTTCTTCTACCATTATCGTTTATCATTTAGTAGATATTTAATGTTTGTTTTGAATAAAACACAAAAAGGAATAATACGATGATTGTTTTATCCGAAAGAAATCCAAACCATCCTAGACAAAAATAGATATACTGTTAAATTCTCGGTGACTATTTTCAAATAATGTTGCAGTGCAGCTGTTAAAAATATTTTCAATAAATTTAAAAGATAAAAATAATATTAACAACTTCAAATTTGTAAAAAGAATCAAGTAGGTAACATGTGTATAAAACTGGAGGATATTCATCCTAGTGATTAGACTAGACTAAATATTATCAAAGAAATCAACAAGTTCGTTCGTGTACCATGCCTCAACTCTTGTTTATGTTTCTCAATAACCAGACGCAAATTATGATATCAGTGTATCTTTATTCTGCTCCTCAATCAGAGTTAAGGTATGAGGTTCTATTCAACATTTTATTTCAGCAAAGTTCTTTTGGCCACTCAAATTTTGCATTAAAAAAAAAAGAAATGTATGACTTTTACGTTACAAAAAGAATAAAAAAAGATGTATCTAGAGTCACCCCTTTCAAATTTTAAATATTGATACGCATTCTTATGTTATTTTTTAAATCTTTGAATCTGTTAATAGATTATGAACATTGAAATATTCTATGGGAGTTGATGGAAACTATTATTGTTTTGGCTTTTCTCTTATTCCGTCTTCATTGTATAGTTTAAGTGGGAATAATGGTTCTTTTGTTAATATTCTTCATATTTAAATTAGGAGATTTTAAAACTGACCTAAGGGTTATAGAGGGTAAACCAAGATTTGAGTGAGGTTGTATTGATGGAAGATCTTGGGAAGGATACATTTCCAATGCAAGAAAACTCACGTTATTTTATTTTATAAAATGGGAGGTTAACTTAAACCTAGCCCATAGGAAATTAACAGGGGTAATATTGGTTAGCAATTTTCTATTTCTAAAGGTGATAGCAAGTGGATAACATCACTCATGAGCAAGGGGAAGTGGCCAAGTGGGGCTCTTCCTGTACGGTGTAGTACAGCTAAAAAAGCAAGAATCTTCCAATTATGCAGGCTTCCTCAGTTGAGCTTTTGTAATCTTAGAGCAACTCCAATGGGGGAAGGCTGCAAAATGCAGCCTCTCCAAAGTATATTCTTGGGATTATGTTTTTTTAGAGGGGGGCATTCCAACCACCCCCTCTATATGAAGCTCTATTTGTATTTTCAATTGATTTCTTTTATAATACTTTAAATAGATTTGAAAATATAAAAATTATAAAATGTTAAAAAATTATATGAATTAATTTAAAATATAAAATATATTATAAATTAATACTAAAATTATAATATATAATATACTTATTATTTAAATAAAATTAATTATCTTTAATAAATTGATAATATGACATAGATAAGAGCCTTTAAATTTTAAAAAGCAGAAAATATAGCATAATATTTGGAACAACCTTCACAGCTACTCCGAATGATGAAATTTTATATATTATATTCAACGACATTACATAGAAAAATAAAGTACATGAAAAAAAAACTAAAAATCGGGTAGGTCATTTCCACCATATCTACCGCTTCTGTAGTCAGGTATTCCGTATTGACTTCCTGCATAACTATATTCAGGATTAGGAATATCAGATGAAGAACCTCCGGTTGTGTTGCTATTTAAAATCTCTTATTTTTTAATTCGAAAATACTCGCGTTCCGAATGATCAGTAATAGTATCAAGATTAATCAACATAATCTTACTTTTTTGGCGTTCCCTTTGAATATCTAATTTTTTCTTTTCGTTTTCGGCCCTTAACATCATAATCTGGTGCATTGCTATTCTATCATTTTCTCGTTGTCCATGACTTTTTTTTTAAAATATCGACAATTTCTTGATTGCTTTTATTGAGAGTTTCCAAGTCGAGGTTCTTTTCAGTTGCCTGTCGCCTCCTCATCTTCTCTTTCTTTCTTCCTGTCGGTCGACTTGTTATCATATCTTCGTCATTATGAGTATATTCCTCATTATCGTTATTTAAGTCGACGACAGGAGAACTTGAATCTGATCCTTGAGATGAGCGGGACTTTGAAGTTTTGAAAGTTGCAGGCGATCTGACACTTATATTTGCCCATTTCTCTGCATCTTTTAAAATTGACCAAACATGATCAAATAGAAACCCCTTTCTCTCTTCTGGATCTTCTGCAAATATTATCCTAGCACGTTTAATCTACCACAAGAGAGGAAGAAACATTTATTAATAACATGATAGTAGATGATAATCAAGATTTATGTTATTCAAAATACTTACAATGTCAAGCTCAGAAGCACCGCTTGGATTTAAGCGCTCGACTTGTCGAATACATCCTCGAAATTTACTGATGGCCTTCATAATTAATTGCATTCGGCATGAGAGAGACTTCGGAGTCCTTTGAGCATTACAAATATTGGAAATCCTTTCATGAAATAAAGCAGAAATTTGTTCCCACAGCTTGTCCTTCTTTTGATTAGAACCCATGACTGGATCTTGAGAAATTTCGAGCCACGTGGCGCATAAATTTGGTCTTCTTCTTGTAAAAAGATTTTCCACGACTAGATGCCATAATCTAAGGAGGAATGTAAAAAGTTATGAATATAGAATAAGAAGAGTTGTGGTGGAGATATGAAAATTGTGCAATATTATATAGGGATCAGATGTGGGGAGTCTCCAACACCAAGAGAATCTAATATGGGGAGTCTCCAACACAAAAGGAATCCAATGTGGGGGTGAGAAGCCAATGCTGAAAAGAATCCAATGTGGGGAGTCTCCAACAGAAAGGAATCAGCCAATGCTGAAAAGAATCCGATGTGGAGAGTCTCCAACACAAAAGGAATCAAATGTGGGGGTGAGAAGCTAATGCTGAAACGAATCCAATGTGGAGAGTCTCCAACACGAAAGGAATCCAATGTGGGGAGTCTCCAACACCAGGAATCCAATGTGGGGAGTCTCCAACAAGAAAGGAATCTAATACGGGGAGTCTCCAATACTAGGAGAATCCAATGTGGGGAGTCTCCAACACAAAAGGAATTCAATGTGGGGGTGAGAAGCCAATGCTGAAAAGAATCAAATGTGGGGAGTCTCCAACACGAAAGGAATCCAATGTGGGGGGTGAGAAGCTAATGCTGAAAAGAATCCAATGTGGGGAGTCATATTATATAATGACATTACATCCATCTCTAAATAACTCACAACTTATATGATTATTTCTATAAATAACTTCTTCATCAATGAACTATGGAGCCGGACCATCACATCTACCTTCTTCTTCTTCTTCTTCTGACGACGACGACGAAATATTTTCTCAGTACATTAAAGATTGGGAGGAAGATATGACACAATGGGAGAAGGGAGATGAACTCTTAGCTCGCGTACATGCCTCTAATAATAAAATAATGACTTATCTCTCTCAAGAGGCAGACTTAGCTCGCGTACATGCCTCTAATAATAAAATAATGACTTATCTCTCTCAAGAGGCAGAGCGGCCAAAACGTATTGGCTCAGTTCCTGGTCATTTGGTGATCAATCGCGGGAGGGAAGAAGGTAATTCTCGACTTTACCATGACTATTTTTCTGATAACCCTACATATGGTGCAAACCTATTCCGTAGAAGGTTCCGGATGCACAGGAGTTTATTCTTTCGTATAGTCGAGGCGGTACGTGAGCATGACAACTTCTTCGTACAGAAGATGGATGGTGTCGGTAAACTTGGGCTATCAACTTTACAAAAAGTTACATCGGCATTTTACATGTTGGCATATGGAACATCAGCAGATAGTACTGACGAATATGTTAGGATCGGTGAGTCAACTGCAATTATATGTTTAAAGAGATTTTGTAAAGCAATTGTAGAAGTATATGGAGATGAATATCTGAGGACCCCCAATGTCGACGATGTTGCAAGGTTATTGCAAAAGGGTGAAGAAAGAGGTTTTCCAGGAATGTTAGGAAGTCTAGACTGTATGCATTGGCAATGGAAAAATTGTCCAACAGCATGTGCAGGACAATACTCAGATCGTCATGGAGGTCCAACCATTATTCTTGAGGCAGTAGCATCATATGATCTATGGATATGGCATGCATACTTTGGCTTACCAGGATCCAATAACGATATTAATGTATTGCAGTCGTCTAATTTGTTCGACAATCTATCACAAGGTATTGCTCCTCCTGCTCATTACACAATTCAAGGAAAAAATTATGATGTCGGTTATTATTTGGTCGATGGCATATATCCGAAATGGCCAACACTTGTTCAAACCATTTCTAATTCTGATGATAAAAAAAACAATATTTTGCAATGATGCAAGAAGCATGTCGAAAAGATGTTGAGCGGGCATTCGGTGTTCTCCAATCACGATTTGCTATCATCAAGGGGCCAACCCGTTTTTGGGATAAACGAACTTTGCATGATATCATGACTGCTTGTATTATAATGCACAATATGATTGTCGAAGATGAACACGACGAACAAGAAGATGTTGTCATTTCAACTCCACAATCAATTCCGAATGCTGAAAATATGGAGATAACGGAAACTGAACGATTCCAACAATTTCTTGCTCTACATAAGAGGTTAAAAAACAAAGAAGCTCATTTTGCACTTCGAAATGCATTGATTGAACATTTGTGGGAAAGACATGGAAATGAAACGATGTAACTTTTTTTACTAATGAAATAATGACTTTTTCATTTTTAATTACTTGGTTCTTGAATTTTATATTTCAATTAATATTATTCAATAGTAGTCTTATTTTGAAGGCATCGACAAAACATTTCCAACTGTAAAACTTTTATTTAAAAATAATTAGTAGAAATAAACTTATGTTGATTTTAAGTTGAATATCTAAAAATAATTAGTTAGTTAGAAGGGTAATATTGTTATTTTTTAGGGGTAATAGTGAAATGGAGGGGGGCTGCATATTTGGAGCAAAAACTCCAAATATGCAGCCGGGTGGGATTTTTTACAGCCGAGCTCCAAAATTTGGAGCTCGGTTGGATGCCAACCGGGCTGCATTTTGGAGAAATGCAGCCCGGTTGGAGCTGCTCTTAGTAGCCTTTTTCGGTTGATGCAGGATTTAAAAGATTAGGCTTATATCAACATTAGTCCCCCCAGATCTTATAACTAATTTAAAAATAGTTGTAAGATTTAGGGGACTAATTTCAAATTTCAACTATTTGGGAGCTAATATCAAAATATTAAACATTTGAGGGACGGATATCTCAATAACTCAAAATTAAATGCTCTGTCATCACTCTCCAAAAGATTAGAATCCATACTTAATTGTAGTACCTTGTTTTCTCTAAGCCTTAAAAATTTTGAGGCAGTGTGTTCTGAGCCACGCAAAGAATAATTGAAAATTTTATAATACCTCCTCACCCTCTTTTTGTATTGTATGGCTCAGAACACCCATTTTTACTCAAATTTTTTTCATATACCCTGTTATTGTATTTACTAAAAAAAAGATACTTTGTCAAATACGGACCATTTTGACTGTCATTTTATCCTTGTGTCATCCTGCAGGGCATTATCCATGGCATCCACCCCACAAAATCATGAAACACTTTTATAAATTCAATAAAAGGCGGCAGCCAATAGGTATCTTCATTCTTTTAGGAAGGGGGGCCAAACGATATGGCCCCATCTTGAATATAAAAGTTACGCAGCCCCACATAGGGCAATTTTCTTCGAGGAAGAGTCACTGATTGAGCTAATATTATTTCTTTCTCTCATTTTTTTTCCTGGTTGGTATTGGCATCGCCAGCCTATGAACATTACCACAAGCATGTGCCATGTTAATGAGTTATTGAATGATTCCATACGTTCACAGTTGGCAAGCAAATGCCTTGGAATCATTCATGACATCTTTCTCTAGCATGGAATACTACTATCGACATTCGTCGACTGGACTGCTGGTTGTCTAAGAAAGAAATTGTGCAAGCTTCTCTTTAAACTCTATTTTATTTTGTATTGGTATGAGAATTCTCCCATGAAACTTAGAGGAAATTTTACATGTCAAATACCATTATTAAGGCTCTGTTTGGTTTGATAGAAAGGGAGAGAAAGGAAAGTAAAATAGAAGAGACAGTGAGTTTCTGCTGTTTGGTTTGAAAGAAAACAAAAAGGAAAAAGAAAATAATTTTCACTGTAGAAAAACAGATAGCTATTTTTTCTTTTCCCCTTTCTCTCCGTTGCCCAGGTGAAAACGAGGGAGAAAGACGGAATGGACGCCTCCGACTTTCCCCGATCTCTCACCTCTCTCTCTCCAAAACTCCGACCGTCTTTCCCCGATCGGATCCCCCCTCCCCTCCTCCTCCTCCTCCTCATACTCTCCTCTCTTCGTCTTCAAAACCCTAGTTCGACGCCGATCAAATCCCAGTCCTCTCCTACCCTCACCTTCTCTCCTGCCTCAGACGGAGCAGACACCGAGAGACGCCAGCGGAGACGGCGGCGGAAGCGAGGACCCCTGGGACGCGAAGCCGGCAACCTCAGAGATCTGTGATCTCGAGAAGAAGCAGCGACGCCCGCCGGAATCCCCCGGAACCCTCTACATCTCCACCAAGTACTAACTACTCTCTCCCCCCTCCTGTTCTTGTTCTTTTACTTCATTTCCCCCCTTTTGATTTGAACCGAGATTCAAAGGTTTTGATTTGAGCGAAGGAGGGTGATTTGGCTGAGGGACGAAGACAAATCCAAGGGCTACGCTGTGGATTTCTCGTCGATTTCGCTTCACGCCGTGTCGAGGGACCCCGAGACGTACCCATCGCCTTGTATCTACGCTCAGGTACTCTTTCCTTCTGCTTACTATTCAAAGGTTTTTTCAACGTGGATTTTCGTCTTGTGTAGTGTTATTTGCAGTTATATTGAGATTAACCAATGAGAGAACAGTTTGTAATCAGTAATGGTTAAGTTTGCAGGTAACTACCCTTTTGAGCCTCCACAGATGAAGTTCAGTACAAAAGTTTGGTATGGTCCTTTGCTCATGGTCCCCAATTTCTTACTTACATCTTCAATGTGCTGTTCGCATTGTGATATAAACATTGATCATGTTTTAATTTGGTTCTCCTCACATGCCATAAAATCGATTTTTTTGACCTTGTATTTGTTGTTGTTGTATTTGTATATTCACATGCCCTCAACATAACTGAATGGATGAGTGGTATAAAAGTTTTGTTGTCGTTGTATTTGTTCCATTATCATGGTATCCTGTTACGAGATTTTTCAGCGTTTCTATGGTTTATCTTGTGCTTATTTATCAACAAATTCCTGTTAATTTGTTATTCAAACCGTCTTGTAATGCTTTATCCTGGCATATGTAATGCACAAAGTTCCTCAACCTGAAGCGCAGATCTTTAACCACTGACCTGCAAACTTGAAAAATTGACATATACAGTTCCCCTTTTCTTTGATTCATTAACTACTTATGTATGTTTTTTATCCATGTTTGAACTACCAGCTAATACCGGTACCAACTGACATGCCTATCAAATTTAAAGCGAAACTGTGATCTTTTCTGAGGGCTATCCTATATTCTGCAACTTTGCCTTTCAATTAGGGGCAACAACATTGTAAGAGGGAGCTTTTTTTCCCATTGCGGTCTGATTCTGAACTATGTAGCTTCTAGTTGTGGAATCTTCGCCTTTCAATTCTGTCATAGTTTAATCAAATGTTGCTATGGTTTTGAATGAAGAAGGGTTTTTCTTTTTTTGAAGGCACCCAAATATCTGTCATCAAAGTGGAGCTGTTTCTCTCTCGGCAGAATTTTTCTCGTCGATTTCGCTTCACGCCGTGTCGAGGGACCCCGAGACGTACCCATCGCCTTGTATCTACGCTCGGGTACTCTTTCCTTCTGCTTACTATTCAAAAAGTTTGTAGCTTGACTTGGAGTATGAGTTATGGTCATCATAGCCAAGTTGAAAGCTTTTTGAATTCTAAAAATTCGAGTACCGTGTTGTTATGAAACCTATGATGAAGGTGGATATGGCTTCTGGTTCTCTTGTAATTAACTAATAGCTTTGTCCACTATTGTTAACCTGACTAGACACTAAAGCCCCAGGTTTAAAAGTTTAATTAGTAGATTGTGGAAAAAAAAAGAAACCCAAAAGAGTTAGAGACTTTGATTCGTGGATCCAGTCCGAGATCAAAAGAAAATATGAATCCCGGAATCTCTGCTTAATAGCCATCGGATTTTTTTTTTTTTGGTTGTGTTTGGAGGGTATTTTCTGTCTGCTGACTTCCAATTTCATCCTGAGAAATTTTGGCTATTGCATGTGCAAGTTTATGGTATGTTTTCTCCCTTTACTTGTGCCATAGTTTGCGCACTCATTACTCTGATGTCGTATTCGGGAGTTTCTTAGGAGGAAGTTGCACTGCATGCTTTGGACTTATTCGTGAAGGTTTATTCGGAAAGTAATATATTATAAATGGTTGATTTTAGTTTTAGTGCCTGCATTGAAAAGTCTATCACGTATAACACAGAAACCAAGTCAAATTAACAGTTTTCTACGACCCATAAATAGCACTACTAAGTTTTTTTTAAAGACCTGTGTACACACGGCGAACATGTAGTTAACTGTGCCCTTCTAAAGTTTTCTGCGCTTTGCAACGATGACACTATTCTCATTAACGCATATAAATTTATTTTGCCTTGTCAATTTCACACTTCTCTTTGGCACTAATTCTATTCTCTGAAACACTACATGAGTTTTCTGTTTTCTGTCTATTCTTCTGAGTATTTGTATGTTCTATCAAGATTGAGACAGAGGAGGATCATGATGCAGTTTCTGAGGACCCAGATTCAGAAGGTGCAGAGGCTGTGGAGCTATCAAAGATCGCTGAGATGAGGCTTGTGCCTTCTGATCCTAGTCAATGTATCCTTCTTCTCGGTGCTTCCAATGATATTCAATAATCCTAACAACTTAACATTAGCTGCCTTACTAAAAAGGATTTGCCTTTGCCTGTTTTTCTATTCAGTACTTGTTATGTTTGACTATATTAATACATGAATATGTTCAGGGCTGTTCCTTCTGGTATATAGGCTCAAGTCTTTATAGTATCTTCTACTTAAATTTAGTTTTCTTGTTAAGTTTCCCCACCCAAAAAAAGTTTGTATGTGTGTAATTGCAAGTCAAATGCCAGATTAGGCATATTTGTTTGCATACTCACACACCCATAAGGGACAAGGGTGTTCTTATAAAATGACATACATTCTTGATGAATGAAGTTTTTTAGTTGCACTTAACGGTCATGGTAGTTTGCTGGATATGAACTGTGGTTTAGTCAAGCCATCCTGTCTAGTAGCTTTTTGTTTTAAATTGTTATGTCCATTATCATGCTCATTGATGCTGGTGTAAAGCTATCCTTTATTTACATTCTATAGACTAATATCTTTGTAATTGGACCTTCCTGCACATGAACTGTGCATTATGGCTACGAGCCTTAGAGATCTCTTTTCGAAGTTTTTTTTAATGTTACAGTGAAGGAATGCTTCATAGTTCACCAACTTCCAATACTCCAAATATACATGAATATGCTTTCCACTTATATTTTGGCAAATGTTACTGTGTCGCACTTGCATTTTGTTGTTACTGTCAACCCCTATATGCTTAGCAACTATTTCAACCAACTGCAAATTTGGTTCTCCTCTATCTGGTATTTCATAGCTCGATTTGGATCTTACACTTTGTATTTCTCTTATGCTTATTATCTCCAATATTGTATCCTTGACTTAGCTGTAACAGTGGATACCTTATTTGACATTTTCTGTCAATGTGCTGAACTAAATCCTGAACCTAATGAAGGTTGGTTATTGTTCTTTGCTTCTATTTTTATTCTAGTTAATCATAAGCTGTATTGGCGGATTATTTATCCATGTTATCTTATGCTTGTTTTCTTATTTGCTTGAAGATGGAGAGGAAGAAAATACCTGGTTTTTTGGTGATAAAGATATGGCTGTTGATGGCATCGGTATAAGAGATCACTCGTGGTCTGCGTTTATTTTGTTCCATTCTCATCATGAATCAAAATTCAAGGTGTTCTTTGCTTGTTATATAGGAAATGATTCTGAGTGGCAGTTTTTAGAGAATCTTGCCAATCCTATTGGGTATGCAAATGGAGATCATGATCTTGCTCAAACAATATTAGAGGTGAATTTCTTGAGATTTTGTTATGACACTTGTAAACTCCAGAAGTTGTCTTTTGAAGTTTATTCTTAGGTTCATGAGTTTAAGTTAATGCATTTGTTAGAGAAGGAAACTTATTAATTAAGTTTGAAAAGTTTCAAACTTAGAAGCACATTACTTAACGGCAAGTGTATGGTCAATAGTGAGAAGTGCATTTTGCCAACTCCTTGTTTTTGTGAGCTTTGGCCACATTTGTGTTGTATTTCTCTTTAATTGAGGAATACAGTTATGACAGTTCCTCATGTTCTTCAACTGTAACTTAAGCCTTTGGGGAAATTTTGATCATGAACATGTATTTATATTTTAGCAACATTCAGTTAAAGAATTATACTTTTGACATATGTATAGAGAATTAAAATTTTGGGTTTTTTTCCTCAAAACCACCATAAAATATAGTGGTTTTCGGAGAACCACTATAATTTTTTTTATTTTCATAGAACCGCCACAAAATATATTGGTTTTTCAGTAAACCACCACAAAAATTTTATTTATCGTAGAACCACCATGAAAATATGAATCTTTTACAAAACCCCACCAAGTGATAATTTACATCTTTATTTTGTTAAATAATAGTATAAAATGACATAAATGCCCATTATGACAAAATTTTAGAGAGGATGAGTGGGGGTATTTGGAGGGAATTAAAACTTTTTTGAGGGAGTTAACGAAATTTGAAAGGGAAATAAGGTATTTTGTTTTTTTTTTGTTGTCTTTTTTGTTTTTGGATAATGAGGCGGCCGGAAATCGAACCTAAGATAGCGGGAGTCATATTGGAACCTCCCAACCATCTGAGTTATCGACGGCGATCAGATATTTTGTTGGTTTGAGAAAATATAGTAATAGATTGGTGGGTCCCACGATGAGGGTATTTTAGGGACTTAGGATATTATTTAGTTTAACATGATATAGATGCAAAATTATAATTTGGTGGCACTTTGTTATATGGATGCATATTTTCATGGTGGTTCAATGAATTTTTATTTTGTGGTGGTTCTCTGAAAAACCACTATATTTTGTGGTGGTTCTATGAAAATAAAAAAAAAATTGTGGCGGTTTTTCGAAAAGCCACTATTCTGTGGTGGTTTTGTATAAAAAACCCTTAAATTTTTTATGTACTAATGCGCATTATATTCTTACACACGATAATATATTCATATTATCTTTTGTTTCGACCAGAGAAATCTATGATGCACATTAGTTATCCAGATTGTTCAACTTTGCATTTCAGATTTAAGCATGTAATGATAAAGCAGAATACTAAATGTTCATTAAATTAAAAATAATATCAGATGTTTTCCCTTCACAACATACATCAGGCTGCTCATTGATGTTCCTTTGGAAATTTATCTGTGAATTTGAACGTGGCCGATAGTTTTTACTGGAGCTGTGCCCCTTTTGTACTAATAAGGAAAATACTCTCTCCTCTGCAGCTCCAGATCAATGACCAGCGATTCGAGGATGCGGAGGAAATGGATCATGAGCAAGGCAGTGGTCGTCAGTGAGGAAAGCCGATGAGGTTGTAATTGGCCTCAGATGCAATATACAGCTAGTGGGACATTAGGAGAGTTTCTTTTTTTTTTCTTTCTGTCCTTTTTCTTTTTCTTGTGTAGCTCTTTGGACTCGGGTGAAAAATGAAATGTAGGGAGTATTTTCACTATGTAGTATTTGCAAACACAACCACCTAATGAGTTTCCAGATTAAAAGGTTGGATCTTTGGATGAACTCGTTGTGCAGAGGAAAACATATTGTCAAGCTACTCTCTTGATGTTGATTAGTAAACTGGGATGCTGTATGCTTGTTGCCTTTCTTTTTTACCCTCCCCCGTAAAAAAAAAAAAAAAACATTTGCATTTTGTCTAACCAATGAATAAACACTAATTGTTTTGAGTAATTAATAAACACTAATTGTTTTGACAAAACTCTATATAATTACACTCATACTTCTCTAATAACTTGTTATCAAGTATATCCATGACCTTAAGTCATTTACCACAAAAGAATTATTTATCACTAATGATTCATATATCTAAATAACAAAAAATACGAGGTTTTACAACAGGAAAACATATTGTCAAGCTACTCTCTTGATGTTGATGAGTAAACTGGGATGTTGTATGCTTCTTGCCTTTCTTTTTTACCCTCCCCCGTAAAAAAAAAAACATTTGCATTTTGTCTAACCAATGAATAAACACTAATTGTTTTGAGTAATTAATAAGCAATCAGGTTTGTTAATTCTCACTTAAGTGAGAACCTCGTTAATAAGTAAAAAGACCAGGGGAAAACCCTTTCAAAAAAAGATCTTTTTATATAACTAAGAAGAAATTTTCTAAACAAACCCATAATTTTTTTTCTAAAATAGACCTTTTTGAGTTTTTTTTTACAAAGATCGACCAATTTTGTCTTAATCCGGTTTCTAAATAGTCGGGGTTGTCGCATAGAATGTTAGGCTTTAGGGTTATAATTGAGGGTTTACACCCTCCTAAATAGTCGGAGTTGACAACCCGACTATTTAGTAACCAGATTAAGATAAAATAAGTCTATTTTTGTAAATAAAATTCAAAGGATCTATTTTTTTAAAAAAAATATGAATGAGTTTATTTAGAAAATTTCTTCATATCACTAAACAAAAGTTAAATAATTTCTCATTATTATATTCACTGTATGTAAACCTAGCGCTTTGCTTCACCGCCGCCGTTTTCTCGGAGTCGATTCGTGCGTTCTCAGTTAAAAAAACTCCCGTCTCTCTCGTGAGCATCGCCTGATGAAATTCTAGGGTTAGGGTTTCGATTTCCTCCAACTTTTGATAAATAAAATTCCTTTTTCTTCCTACTAGATAATGGCGTTTGCGGCGATGAAACCAGCGAAGGCGGGGCTCGAGGAATCCCCGCAACTTCATCGCATCCGGATCACGCTCTCCTCGAAGAACGTGAAGAATCTCGAGAAAGGTACCGAGCTTCTCCGATCGATCTCTCGTTTTCATCCTCTTTGTGTATTTTCTGGCGGTTGATTGAGCGGTGGTGTTGGTAGTTTGTGCTGATCTGGTGAAGGGAGCGAAGGATAAGAGTTTGTTGGTGAAAGGGCCGGTCAGGATGCCGACCAAGGTTCTCAATATTACTACCAGGAAATCCCCTTGTGGCGAAGGTAATGCCTAATTCTTTTTATTTATTTATGTCTTGTCTCTCTCAGTTTTTGAAGTTGTAGAAATGGAATATGCTTGCTTTATTCTTACATTGCAATCCAAATCTAAAATTTTGATTTCCGAAATGAAAATTTGCACTGTTGGATGTGATGCAATACACATCACCTACGTAGAGACAGAATTGGGTTTTTCCCCAATTCAAAGTCATTATAAATTATATTGCGTCAAAATGGACAAAAATGAATAAAATCCGTGGTTTATAGTCCATGAAAATAGAAATTTTGAACTACGTGCCATTCAATTAACACGGACAAAAACGATAAAAAATCATAGGTTGTTGCTCTTGAAAGCGAGAATTTTGGACCATGCATATTTAAATGTCGTTGGGTTGAAATGGACAAAAAAATGTTGGTTATAGGCTATAAGTCGCAGATTTGATGTACTCATACCTTATTCCTATTAGGTCGAAACAAATGAAGAATTATGAGATATGTAAACTATGAAAATTAAGAATTTTGAAATACACATTTTTTCACCATTGGATTGCAACAGAAAATAACGAACAAAATTTATGGGTTATAACCCATAAAATATGAATTTTGAACCATGTGTACTTAATTAACTTTGTGTTGAGACACAAAAATCGTAAATTATAGTCCACAAAAGCTGCAAATTCAAGTGGTTAGGTCACAACAAACAACATTGGAAAAAAATCATGAATTATAGCATTGAAATTCAAGAAGTTTGAAATGCATATACTTTATCACTACAGTATCGTAATGGAACAAAATCGTGGATTATATCCCATGAAATTACAAAATTTTAATTATATGTACTTAATTGCAAATTTTGAACTACGTGTACTTAATTGCAAAATTTGAACTTATTGCCTTTAAAATGAAGCATATGAAAATGAAAAAGATTGTGGATTATAACCCATGAAAATTTAAAATTTTGATTGTGTGTGCTTAATTGCCATTAGATCAAAATGGACAAAAAAACAGACAACAATTATGGGTTATAGCCTATAAAAATCGCAAATTTTAATGTACATATACTTAGTTCAATTAGGTTGAAATAGGGAATATGAGACCAAAATAGTGAGTAATAGTCCATGAAAACCTAGAATTTTAAATTACGCAAAGTTTATTGTTCTTTGGTCAAAAAAGGATAGTAACAGACAAAAGTCATGGGTTATAATAGCCTATGGTACTGTGAATTTTGAATACCATTTCTTAATTTCCTTTGGGTTGAAATAGACAAGAATCGTAGAGACCATGCAAATCGTGAATTTTGTAGTAAGCTTAGTTAATTATCATTAGGCCGAAACAGACAACAATAAACAAAAATCGTTGATTATATCCCATGAAAATATCAAATTTTGAAGTATGTGTTACTTAGTCGAAATAAATAAATACAGAAAAAATAGTGGGTTATAGCTCATGAAAATCATGAATTTTGTAGTGTAGAATAAATTTCCATTCATTAAAAAATTGACAAAAATTGTAGATTATGGGCAATGAAAATTATGGATTTTGATTTATACATGGGTTATAGCTCATGAAAATTATAAATTTTGATGTACAATAAATTAGTTTTCATTCAAAATGAACTAAAACTGACCAAAATCGTGGAGTAAAGACCGTGTAAATCACGAATTTTGATTTATAAACAATTTGCATTCATTCAAAAAGAACCAAAATTGACAAAAATGTGGGCATAGCTCATGATAAACGTGAATTTTGATGTGCACATAACAAATTTGTATTCGTCCGAAACAAACAAAAATTGAAAATCATGGATTAGGGCTCTTGAAAATTACTAATTTTGATGTACATATGATAAATTTGCATTCATTTAAAATGATAAAAATTAACAAGAATCATAGGTAGGTCATGAAAATCATGAATTTTGATGTACAAAATAAATTTGCTTATGTTTGAAATGAACAATAATTGCCAAAAAATCATGGATTGTAGCTTATGAAAATCATGAATTTTAATGTACACATAATAAATTTGCATTATCCGAAACAAATAAAAATTGACAAAGGTCGTGGGTTATAACTCATAAAAAATACAAATTTTAATGTATAGGCAATTAATATATTTATTCAAAACAAACCAATATCGAAAAAAATTATGAGTTATATCTCATGAAAATTGTGAATTTTGATAAACATAATAAATTTGCATTCATTCCAAATGAACAGAACTTGACAAAAATCGTGCATCATGACACTTAAAAAATGCGAATTTTGATGGATAGATCATTAATTTACATTCGTTTAAAACAAACTAAACTTGATAAAAACGTGGATTAAAGTCCATGAAAATTATAAATTTTAATATACACATAATAAATTTACAGTCATTCGAAATAAACAAAAATGTAACAAATCATGGTATATAGCTCATGAAAATTTTTAATTTTGATGTACACGTAGTAAATTTGCATTTGTTTAAACGAACAAAAATTGATAGAAATCTTGGGTTGCCAATGAAAATCACAAATTTTTTTAAATAGACAGTTAATTTACATTTGTTTAAAAGAAACTAAAGCTGACAACAATCCTAGGTTATAGTTCAAAATCGCAAAATTTGATGTAGACAATAAATTTGCATACTTTTAAAAAAAAGCAAAACTGAAAAATTTGTGTGGTGAAGCCCATGAAAATGCAAATTTGATGTATAGATAATTAATTTAGATCCATTGAAGACAAACCAAAATTGAAAAACATCGTAGATTATATCTCATGAAAATTGTGAATTTTGATAAACATAATAAATTTGCATTTGTTCGAAATGAAGAAAAATTGACAAAAATATTTGGTTATAGTCCATAAAAATTGCGAAATTTAACATATAATAGTTAATTTACATTTATTTAAAAAAATTAAAATTGACAAAAATTGTTATAGCTCATGAAAATCACAAATTTTATGTATACGTAATAAATTTATAGTCATTCAAAATGCTATAACAAAGCATGAGTTATAGCTCATAAAAATTGTAAAATTTGATGTACATATAATAAATTTGTATTTTTTCAACACGAACAAAAATTGATAAAAATCGTGAGTTATACCTCATTAAAATCTTAAATTTTAATGTACACATACACATAATAAATTTATAGTCATTTGAAGTGACCAGAAATTGTAACAAATCATTGATTATAGTTCATGAAAAATTGTGAATTTTGTAGTGCACTAATAAATTTTCATTCATTCGAGGCAAACAAAAATTGACAAAAAACCATGTGTTATAACCAATGAAAATTGTGATTTCTTATGTATAAACAATTAATTTACATTCGTTTAGAACAACCATAATTGACAGAAGTTATAGGTTATTGCCCAAGAAAATCACAAAATTTAAGGTGTATGTAATAAATTTACAGTCGTTTGAAATGAACAAAAATTGTAACAAATCGTGGTTTATAGCTTATGAAAATCGTGAATTTTGATGTACACTAGATTTTATTCGTTCAAAACGAAAAAATTTAAAAAATTGTGAGTTTATATAGCTCATAAAAATTGTGAATTTTGACAAACATGATAAATTTGCATTCATGCCTAGTGAATAAAAATCGTCAAAATTGTTGATTATATAGCCTATGAAAATTATAAATCTTGATGTAGAAACAATTAATTGATATTTGTTTTAAAGAAACTAAATTTACAAAAATCATGGATTATATATTGAAATTACAAATTTTGATGTACATGTAGTAAAATTTGTGGTCATTCGAAACAAACAAAAACTATAACAAATTATGGGTTATAGCTCATGAAAATCATGAATTTTGATGTATACATAATAAATTTATGTTCATTTGAAACAAACAAAAATTGTCAGAAATAATGATTTATACCTCATGAAATTCACAAATTTTAATGTACACTTGTAAATTTGCATTTGTTTGAAAACAAACCAAATTTGAAAAAATCTTGGGCTATAGGTCACAAATTTTAATGCATACATAATAAATTTGCATTTGTTTGAAACAAATAAAAATTGATAAAAATCATGTGTTATGGCCAATAAAAGTCATGTGTTATGGCCAATAAAAATCATGAATATTAATGTATAGATAATTAATTTACATTTGTTCTAAGCAATACAAAATTAACAAAAATCATGGATTATAGCTCATGAAAATTACAAATTTTAATGTATACGTATTAAATTTGCAGTCATTAGAAGCAAACAAAAATTGTAACAAATCATAGGTTATTGCCCATGAAAGTTGTGAATTTTGATGTACATAATAAATTTATATTTGTTCGAAAAGAACAAAAATCGATAAACTCGTGCGATATACCTCAGAAAATCACAAATTTTAATGTGTACATAATAAATCTGCATTTGTGCAAAATGAACTAAAATTTAAAAAAATTGTGAGTTATAGTTCATTAAAATTCGTGAATTTTTGAGTACACAATAAATTTACATTTGTTCGTAATGTGGAAAAATCGTGGGTCATAGCTAATGAAAATCATAAATTTTAATATATAGACAATCAATTTATATTCGTTCAAGACAAACAAGACTTGACAAAAATAGGTTATATGCATTGAAAATCGCGAATTTTGATGTGTAAACAGTTAATTTACATTTGTTTAAAACGAACAAAATTGACAAAACACGAGTTATGCTCATGAGAAACACAAATTTTAATGTGCATGTAATAAATTTGTAGTCATTCGAAGCAAATAAAAACTGTAACAATTTGTGAGCTATACTTCATGAAATTTTTTGAACTACGTGCCATTCAATTAACATTAATAAAAACTATAAACAATCATGGTTTATTGCTCTTGAAATTGAGAATTTGAACCATGCTTGCTTAAATGTCGTTGGGTTGAAATGGACAAAAACTGTTAGTTATAGGCTATAAGTCACAAATTTGGTATATGCATACTTTATTCCTGTTAGGTTGAAACAAATGGAAACAATAAATAATCATGAGATATATAGTCCATGATAATAAGAGTATT